GTCGGATGCGGTTGAGACGGAAGGCTCCCGGGGGAAGCACGGAGGGGGGAGAGGTGAGGGTGTAGAAGGGGGTGGCGGCGAGCCTCGGGGGAGGGATCCTTCGGCGGCCTCGTCCGCCGGGAACTGGGACGGAGGCAGCGGCGGCGGCGGCGGCGGCGGCTGGTCTTCCTTCAGCACCACCCCCGCCCCGGCCTCCGCCACGCCTCAGGCAGCAGCAGCAGCAGCAGCAGCAGGGCCTCCCCTCCGGCACGACCGACACAGGGAAGTGTCCGCGGCGTCGTTGGGGTCGGTCTCGTCAGTGGATGAAGAACGGGGACGAGAAAGAGGAAGAAGCGGAGCGGCTCGGTCTACAAGCGCCGAGATGGCGCCGGCGCTGGCGCCGACCGTGAGGGAGGAGGCAAGTATCGCCGGTCCCGAGGAGGTCGGGGGCGGGGCCGCTCGCGCGGCGGACAAGAGCGCTTTGGTAGAACCACAGGGGGCGGCGGCGGCGGCGGCAGCGGCTGCTTCTCGTCAGGCGCCGTCAGCATCTACTCTTCTTTTTCCCAGGATGCCGCAGGGGGACGGCGGCGGCAGCGGGGGCGGGGTGGTGAAGACGACGGGGTGGAGCGGGGACGACCCGTACGTGGCCCCTGTCGGAGACCTCCCGGGCCAGCAGAAGGGATTCGGTGAGCTTGTAGGCGCGACGGGGGGGGTACGAGCTGTGATGCGTGCATTACTCACCCGATAGGGCGCGTTAGGGAGGCCGCCGGAAGGCACTGACTGGGGGAGGCACACCAACCGGTAGGCAGACGGGTAGCGACAGAAAACAACACTCCGGACAAGCAACGACCGTGGTTCATCACCCTCTCACCATCACCGCCATGCCTCGTTCGACTCCTTGAATGCCACCCCTCACCCACCGCATCCCGTATCCGGCTCCCCTTACCCCTTTGCTTCGCTTTGCTTGACTTCGCTCGACTTCGCCGCCGCTTTGGCTCTCCCGTAGACCCCACCCACCATCACCTGAAAACGGCGGCCAGATTACCCTTTTGCCTTCAAAACCCGCGTGTGCTGAAATAAACCCGCGTTATCGTAACATGCCGTCGAACGCTGTTTTTTTGCGGGGACCCCCGTCAGTGGGCGCGGAACCGCGCCAGTGGGAGGCGGGAAAGCGGGCGCACGAGCAGCAGCGGGGGCGGGGGAGAGGAGAAGGAGGAGGAAGCGTCTCCGGAGATCTCTACCCCGCCGCTGCCCGAGACCTGCTGATGGCAGGACCTGCCGGAGGAGTCGGGGCCGGGGGAGGGGGGCGGGAGGGGCTGGAGAAGGTCCGCACGAGGAGCCGCTCGCACTCGATGCACATGGGGGACATCGGCGGTGAGTGTGTTCCCGTCCGTGCCTGCCGCCATGTGGGCGAGGCAGGGGTATCACCACCACCACACTATACAGTAGGAGTAACGTAGTGGATGTGGTGGTAGTAGTAGTTGTTGTTGTTGTAGTAGTAGTAGTAGTAGTAGTAGTGGTAGTAGTAGTAGTAGTAGTAGTAGTAGTAGTAGTAGCGTAGTGGTAGTCGTGTAGCAATACAATGTAGTACTTCGAAGTAGTAGTAGTAGTAGAAGTAGTAGTGGTGACATAGGATTAAATGTAGTTCTTCGAAGTAGTAGTGTTATTGTACTCTCAGAGTGGACTCCTCGGAGGTGTGTACTACTCGGCACTGTAGCCGCTAGCTCAGTTGGATTATCACCCCCACTACTTCGCGGTTATCTCTGCTGGGAACAGGCTTCGGGCGCACCTACAATCCACGATTCACAACCCCAGTGGGCCTTATGGTTAGGTCAGCTCAGAGGCTACGTGTGTGATCCTCACGATGACCGCCCGTGTAGTCAGTGCAAGCAGTAATAAGTAGTATATGTGGGTGGTGTTGCCAGGTGTTGTGTACAAGTAGTTGTTGTGGGTATTCATGTTGGGTGATGGTACTGAAGACGCTCCTGTGTTGTTGTTGTGGTCGTCGTGGTACCGTTCTGGCGTGTTGTCTCCGGTGAATGGAAAAGAAGGCCGATTGTCTATGCCGGCCGTGGTGTCGCATGTTTGTGTTGCGGGATCTTGTTGGTGACGATCGTGGGTGATGCTGACGCTGTTATGTACATGGTTCGTTGTCATCGTCGTCTGCCGCCGCCGCCGCCGCCGCTTGCTCTGGTCTGTTTCGCCAGTGAACGGGCTGGACCTTCCGATCAACACGTTCTCGTGCACGGTGGGCCTCAAGCTGAGCCAGGCGAACTACTACATCAAGAGCAGCGCGGCGGCGGCAGCGCTTTGCAAGGAGGCAAGTTTTAGGCTGCCTTTCGTTTTCATACATGACGGGTGTGTGTGTGTGTGTGTGTTCATACATACGTAGCCGTGCGCGCCGTAGTCGTTGGGCCAGTGACCTCGCATTCCTACAAAGCCGGGACGGGTTTCGCCGGGGGGGGGGTACTTCCGAGGCGAAGGTCCACACCTTTTTTTTGTGGCAGATCAGCTTCAAACAACCAAGTTTGCCTTTTTTTCTTACGAAAACACAACGACTACATCTCCCTCCACAGATAAATGTATTTTTACTTCAACAGGGTTTTGCTTTTCTGACCCCAGTTGTACGGTGACCTTCCAAGCCCCGTCGTGAGCACCCACCCCCGCTAAATGATACTCACCAGGAGCGCATTTTTGTTTTTTGCCTCTCTTTCCGTTTCTGCAGCTGAGCCAGGTGAAGGACAAGGAAGACTACGGGAGCTTCGAGGGGTACGAGGACGGGGCCGGCGTGTACGTGCAGTACGCCGTTGCTAACCAGCAGGGCGCGGCGAAGGCTCCGCCCCACACGTCGTCCGCCTCCAACATCGCCGACCTCGACATCGTCATGGGCTCCCAGGTACTGCTGTATGTTGGGGGATGATAAGTTCGGGTGTTGGTGGTTGTGGCCGTGTGATGGTGTTGTTGGCGGTGGCGGTGGCGGTGGCGAGAGCGACGGTGGTGCTGGTGACCCGTGAATGGTGATAACGTTGGCGGCGTTGACGCTGTTGGGGTGAGAGTTGGTGTTTTTTTTTTCGTGTGGTTGGTGGTGTTGGCGAATGAATGTGGTGGCGTCGGTGGCATTGATGCTGTCGGGTGAGTGTCGATACTGTTTTGTTGGCGATGTTGAAGGTGGTGGTAGTGGTGTTGGCGGCGTCGTCAGTGTGAGGTGATGTTGACGGAAATGTGGTGGTGTACGAAAGACGCAGCAGGGTGATTGTCAAAATGTTGGTGGCGGTGCTGGTGCCGTCTCCTCAGTCACCGGCATGTGTATGTGTGCGACACTCACGCTTGTGTTGGATCTGTGTGTCGTGTCGTGTCATGTCATGTCATGTCATGCCATGCCAAAGAGAGAGGGGCAGGCACACAGACAGGCTCTGACACGTGGCACAAACTTGTTCACACCTCGCCTGGGGGCAGCGACAACAACAATTAACACCGTATGGCACGCAAACTCATCTTCCATCTGCACACAGCAGCTGTTTCTCCCGGATGCCACAACCCGACCTCCCCCCCCCCCCCCACCCCCCCACCCCCGCAAATACTCAGTTCCCCGACGGCAACAGCGGAGGCGGCGGCGGAGGCGGCGGCGGCGCCACCGGAGACCGGTTTCAGCCGATGGGCTACCTGGGCCGTTCGGCGAAGCGGTCGCTGACGCCGAGCATGAACTACAACCAGGTCTCTACCG